CTGCGACTTCTCTTGGATGCCGTCAATGAGGCTTACCAGAGTGACGCCCTCCAGGGCAAGCCCCGACTCGCCTTCCAACAGCTAATTGAACACATTGGAAGCAGAGATCTGGCTGGGGATCATTCATTCTGGGCATCATACCTTTCAGGAGCTGGCAACTCCCCGCTCTTCGGCTACCTCTTTGTGCGCGATCCTGTGAAGGACATGAGAGCGGACTACCAGGTTTCGCTGCCACAAAAAGTGGAAGGAGCTACTTTGACAGCGACGATAGCATCAGCTTGGGTCCGGGCGGTTAGCCGTCTGACTCAATCTAACGACGTCACCATTGGATACCTCGTCACTGGCCGCGCGGCGTCCATCCCCGGAATTCAACAATGTGTGGGGCCGGCGATTTCCAAGGTCCCGCTCCGCGTCCGGCTCGAAGGTGGGGACACAACCGCCGATGTTTCGGAGAAGGTCCAGAACGAACTCACCCGACTCATGCCGTATGAACTTTCTGGATTGAAGACGGTCCAGAGTGCCAGCCAAGATGCAAGGGATGCTTGTCGTTTCCCTGTAGATTTGACCGTCCACCCACACGGCACACTTTCTTTCGCAGGCGAGGGCATTGGGATGCGCTTCGTAGGAGGCGAGGTCGCTACGGCCCCTCCTGGTGGATTCTCTGTCGAATGCACCATTACAGAAAATGGCATCGAAGTCACTGCTTTTTGGGACAGCCGAGCGGCCCGAAAAGAGAGTATCGATTCGTTGCTGGAGGATTTCAAGACAGTTCTGCTGGCTTAATTTCACCGGGATCCCACGGCGTCGATTGGCGTGCGCTCACGTTTCAACTTGAGCTTTCATTTCTTTTGTTGTATTTCAATTGTAGTCTCTAGAAAATAGACAATATTTACGTTACCATCTTCCAGTAATTAAGACAATACACTGTACTAATCGGTCGCCTGCGGTGACTAGATTCGCCTACACATACCAGGAATGTTCGGCCGATCTTGACTGTCGCCTCTTCCTTTCAGAACCTTGGGACGGCTGGGTGTTGTCAAAAGCTTAACAACTGCACGAGAAGTTTAGCGATCGCGTGTATCGGAACCAGCCGTGAAACCAACCCTTCAAAGTTTTAAGCTTCTTCGACACTGGCTCAGAAATTCTATCCCATGTGTTTGACAACAAACTCTGAACTACGCGCATGCCATTTAGTGAGATCTGTATCGTACCAAGGTTTAACCAAAGTCTCTGGAATTTTATCTTTGGTCTCGGCATCGTCATTCTTTTGGAGTGAAATCACACGGGAATGTAACGACAGTGGTCGCATTGCATGGGGTGTTGGAATACTTGATTACTAGCTTACTCGTTCACATCTGCCCCATACTCTAGCAGCAACTTCAAAATTTCGATCCTCTCCAGCACCACCGCCAAGTGTACCAATGTTCGCTTCTGGGTATCCTTCAAATTGACGCAACGTTTCAAAAGCCCTTCAAAGGGCTGCAATCGACTTTTCTCCTCGCACCACTTCAACAATCCTCGCAGTTGTTCGATATCGTCGCGAATAATAGCTCTGTGGAAGACGCTTGTTCCCGAGTCGTCTGGCAACGTGATATCGGCCCCCAAATCCAGCAGCGTGCGAGCCGCAACAGTATCACCCCTTTCCACAGCTAGATGAAGAGCCGTCTTCCCTGACTTGTTCTTGGAGTCCACTTTGCCTCCACTCTTGATGAGGAGCCGTGCGATTTCTAAATTGCCGCGCATCACGGCGCTAAGCAGCGGTGTGCATTCTGTTATTGAGTCGTGCGAGGCGACAGAACTGCATGAGCTGCAAGAGCTTGCTATCGATGATGGAGTGAGCCCTTTCAGACTTGACGGCGTGCTGACAGTGTCGATAGTCGATGCAGCTGTAGAAAGGTTCGCGGAGTCGGCAGAGTCCTGGTGGAATGCAATCAGTGACTGAAGAGCGCAACGTTGAGAGAATCGAAGGGCGCCTACGTTGAGATCGCTGAGGCAACTGAACGCGTCGCTTGGGCTATCGTGTGTCTGCGGTTGACTTGTTGTGAGGGCCAAAGGCTGCTCGGACGGTGACTTTCTGGGCTGAGACGATGTTTCCATTACATGTAGCGGCAATGGCGGTTGCGGTTGACTTGAAGGTTGTGATGCTGGCAGTTGGGTGGCTGTGGGCACTGCTGCGGGTGCGATGGACGAGTTCAGCGCGGCATCGATGCAATCCAAGCCTGCGGAAGCGTTCGGCGATTCGAAATCATCCAATCCTGGAACATCGAGAAAGTCAACCGTAGGATCGGGTTGATATGATGTATCGAAGAACTCTGGTGTTCGCGACCGGGTGTTGCTACCGCTGTTACTACTGGTCTCGTTCCATCTCTGCTGTGCTGCTGCAGATTTCAGGTGTGGCAGATCGAAAAGAATAGCTTCGGCAAGTTCGATTCGCATACGCTGCCGTGAGCCTGAGGTGCTCTCCTGTCAGTTTGGCACTTCCGTACATCCCCGTTTGGCAGAATGATCACTAAGGCCTTGGATTGTATTCAACAAAGCCAAGCGGGGTTTATTTCCATGGGACGAAACTCACGGTAGTTCCTCTGTGCAATCCTGTTCTGCGCTTTGCGACGTTCATTGATGTCGGTGATGTGCGACCAATCGTCATCCCGTGAAGTCATTGCCATATCTGGTGTAAGTGCCGGGCAGAAACACGTTTGCAGGCAGCATTTGACGGGGTGGTTGTCCGACGACAATTGGTCTCATCGCGATTGCTCGACAATGATGGATATAGACTGTTTGTATAATTCAACTTGAGACGCAGCGCGCCGGGACCCCTCACGGCGCGTAGAATACTATTGAGGTTGTTGATACCACGCTCCGAAGTATAAAATCTGGAGCGTCACATAATAACGTTTCGCTGAACCTAGGGCAGCCTGTTCGTTCCATTCCCCTGGATGCGCGTTAAATGACTCGCGATACGTCTCAATGGACGCAAACAATGTCCGAAAAAACGACAACGCCGCTTACAACCAGAAACTCGGGTTTCTTGTTGCGACCCCACCACTTGTTGTAGAAATGTCTCTGAGCAAGCAAGTCACTGAGGTTCTTGGCAGCATGTCCTCGGTTGTCAGGTCTGAGCTGCTGTCTGATTTTGCAACGTGGTTTACCAATTCAGCTAAGCTTTAGATCCATGCAAGTGCCAGGACCCTGAAAACCTTACTTTTCGTGCTCGATGCACAAGCGAGAGTTTCCCGAGTCAGTAGACTGGCTCGCCGTCGGGACTAAGAATCGACTTAACATTGGGAGCCTTCCAGAAGATTGATGTGCCTCTCAGCATGTGGTCTGGGAAAGTTAATCCTGCCTGAACGCATGGAAGTTTGGCTAGTCCGCTACGCCGCTAAGCCGAAGTGCTGACGTACAATTTGCCCGGCTTGCCTACGTGAACTCTGAAATTTCCGACAGGCAGGGTTACAAGCCGCTTTAGTTGAAATAAACTAGCATAAAGCCTCATAGCGAGTCAAACGACGACTGTCTTGCCGTTAGATGGTTTCTTCACGAAATTCGCGTTCCGTTGCTTCTATTGCCTCGCACCGGGCTTGTGGTAATACGGGACCTTTCAACTCGGACCGCGGATAAACGGCCTCTTCCTACCTACCCACAGACGTCCGGCATAACCTCACTTCAGCTCGGCAAAAACGGCCGTAACCGTATGCGTATCCCGAGGTTGCAACTCAATGATTCAGTGCCCCGACGAAGAGGAGCTCTCGCCCGCAGGCACACCCCGCTTAGATTGCAATAACCAGCTGTCATAACCAGGGGATGTTCTCTTCCGATCGTTACATTGAGTGTAGAGTGGACACGATCTCGATGGGCATTGCTCTTCAACGTAGCCCCAGATTCCTAGAGTAATCAAATAAACTTCGATTCGTCAATTATTGGTGGCTTGTACGCAGCGGTCTTCTTTCCCCCGCATCATGTCGCACTGCCGAGTTTCGGGTCCACTTCTGCCTCGTCTTGCTCGGACAAAAGTTGCGGCAAAAACGTGGCCATTGTGCGATTGATCGTTGGTTCCTTGCGAAAAACAACTGCGTAAATTGTGTTATGTGGAGAGTGAGAGTCCAGGCACAAAACACTTTTGCAAATCCATGCATTAATCTCGGTCACTCCCGGCTGTAAGACCCTTCAAAAAGGCTGCGAATTCAATCTCTGAGTCTTTTGCTAACGCGGATATTATTGTATGGATGGAAGATGTAGCATACTGGTTTCCGAGGTTGGAGGAAGCCAGCATAATCCGATGTATCCCAAATTGTGTCAGGCCTGAAGAATGATGAAGCCTTGCGGGCAACACACAAAGGTTTTCAGAAGGATACTGAACGATCCTCGATTGATCTGAATCTTCTCGCGATTTCACTTCAAGTTATCTGGCCTCTTCTTGTAGTATCATGTTGTTGCACACTCAACTAAGCCATCCCGAGGTGCCCGACTGTGCCGGGCTTTGACGACTCCACAAGGAATATTCGAACAGCAGTATCCCATTGACTGCTGCATGACGCCAATAAATTGGAACGCCAAGTATATCTAATCACGTATGGTTCCGAAGGATCGACAATTATTTTGGGCGAAAGAGAGATTCATATGAGACTAAATTAGAGAAATTGCGTATACTCTATGTACTGGCATCGTGCAGTAGTCGATGAGATATCGGTCAAAATAAACACAACGACAGTATCTGATTACGGCGAAGAATTTGACATTGTCATAATTAAAATGTTGGAGGCGAACACAATCGTATCCATGATGAGAATCTCAGTTGAGGCGATTCCAATAGGCGTATTTGGGGGATTTAAACCATCGCTTGGTCCTAGCTGACAACCCGAATTACGCTGAAGTACAATGACGCTCAACATCGCAAGCGTGTTACCAAACTTGGGTTCGAAGGAAGTTCTGAGTATTGAGCAGAAGCGGTGATGCAATCTTGAGATGCGGTACTGACTTCAAATCCATCCTCCAACACCCCCTTATAACAAGTCAATCGCCTGTTTGGAGTTGTCCACGCCAGTGATTTTGAAGACCATCCAGTTCCAGAACGTCGAGACTTCTCCAATGAAGGAAAGCAGACGCATGATTGCCCTGGCCTGGAACTTCGACGTGTCGGACGCCTTACAATTCTGCGTTAGCGCCAGTCAAATATATGGCCTGGAGCAGCTTACCAGTGGATTGTTGCCTCCGCTTTGTCTAACCCATTCAAATGCGCGAGGTATGACAGCACCTTCGTAAGACTTACACGCTTCCATGAAGTCTTGCTCACGAGTACCGTTTGCCGTCTTTGCCTTCTCCGCCAACCTAGTCAGGAGAGGAAGAGCGTCGGCAGTGTCAAGCATGGACTGGTTGCCGCCCATACCTCTACCACAATAGGTCAGTAAATTCCTGATTATTCGCGGGGCTATGGTCCTCCACTGCGTACCTAGACGGAAGCATCGCATGCATGGCATCTCCAATGAGCCAGACATGCGGGTTTCCAAGGCGTTCATCATCAGGTGAAGCTATAGCACGACGCCAGTCAAGAGGAGGGCGAGAAGAAACCCTCGGAGTCCAGCAATACATATCTTGTCCGTGAAACATATTGAAGATTTGGTGACTGGAGAGACTCGACGTAAGTACAGCTACAAAGCTCGAGGTATTTCGTCGATAAAGACTAACGGCTGATTCACTTACTGTTGTGGAGACCAATCGCGGATAAGTAGCTCAGCTGCATCCCATTTCTCCTCCGTTGTTAATGTGTCAAACTCTTGAGGCATTCGATCACGGTGCCATCCTATTCCAAGCATGGTAGATATGCCCTGTTCAGAGCTATGTTTTGAGTCGGTAGCGTTTCCAACCTCTCTTGGAAGGTACACTATCAAATAAGCCGTCAATAGAGTAGTGAGCAGGTTTATAAGTCATCTCTCACCTTGGAAGAAAAGGGTGGCTCCGCCATCAATAGTACCTACTGGAGAATGCAGCTTTTGAGGAATATCGTTGAAGACTGAGACTGGGAAGTCTTTCCTCGCAAGGAATCCATAATAGGAACTGACCTCTTCTAGATTATTGAGCCCCAAGAGGCAATTGACCTTGGACCTGTCAGCCCAGATACCTACCTAGTAAGATTCACCGATATGCAGCAGTTACCTTGGATCCACTTCCGTCCGCCCCAATAAGAACATCACAAGTGTCAGACGTACCATCATCAAAGAAGGCCTTGACAAAGTGCCGACTGCCATCTCGGTGTATCTCGTAGTTCGTAAGTCGCTTCTCATTGTGGAGTTTTCCCATCTTGTGGAGTGGCTCGGAGAGAGCCTCTCGAAGAGATACGCGGTTGATCGGGGTCGACCTCTGATATCCCGGCATCTTCCCTGGCTCAAACAACTTGTTGAAGTGCTTGTCGTACACAACGGGTGGGTTTGAGACAGTCGAGCGAGCAAACCGTCTGGCAATAGAATCGATTTGCTCTTGTTCCAAGCATGCCCGCATGCCGATAAGAGCTCCCTCGCCCAGCCGAATCTGGAATCCTTCGCGTTTCGAGTGCTTCTCTGCGCGCTCATAGACTTCGAAGTCGATACTGTGCTTGGCGAGACCATTGGCAAGCAAACTGCCGGCTAGCCCAGAGCCGATGATAATGACTTTGAAAGAGGTCATGGTCCTTCAAGATAGCGAGGAAGAATTACAACTCTCACACAGGAAAAGACAAACATGTTGATCAATACGCACTTTTCCAACCCCGTGGAATTATATGCTAGACATCTTGGTTCATCGTCTGATGTCTGCGGATCGCAGTTGCATAGCGTCCAATCAATCCAAGCACCGCGACACCTTCGGTAAAACGAACCCACCGAATCGGGAGGTCGTGGTCTCCGATTACCGACTTCAAAGGCGGCGGGCGCAGTGTTGGAGATCCGAGGCACCGTTTATCTTTTAAAAGGGTGTGATACGATGCTGTTCCGAGACAGCTGGAACTCCACGGATACTCACCAGCTAGGTAATTAACTGCCGACGAGTAGTTCTTGAAATGTAACATGTGCGCTTTCCAAACTTTGATCAAGTCGTTCACGATACAATGAGTTGGTATCATGCATGTTCAGACTCAAGGCTAAGGGCGGCTGTAGAGGAAATTAGGGCAGAGTTCTAGAACATTTCTTGGAGCATGTGCCCTAATGGCACAAGATGTTGCGTAACCCTCGCTAGCGATCCTATTTATTCGCCCATATTTAACCTGTAAGGTAGGCAAGCAGCAATCCATTGCTAGGATGCGCATGATCTACAGGGCACGTGGCTGACATTTGCGGTGCTCTGCCTTATCAACTCGCAAAGCCCGGGTGAGACCAACCGTGCTCGGATTATCATTTCCCATTCGTCGCGACCGACAGTACATCAAGAATGATAAACAATCGTGTCTTGGGGCACGGGCGACCTCCATATGTCATCATGATCCTCCTTGCACAAATCCCATCACACAATTGCCGATCGCTGCTGCATGCGTCCTCCCCTAGCTGGTGTGGCTTGATGACATCATGAGGTCGAGCGGCAAGCTCCCCAAGCTCCTCAAGCTCCCTTATCAGAACGACTTCCCAAGAACCCTAGAGCTTCAACCACACGAGATCTCATACCAAATAACTACCGAATCAATCAAATCACAATCATGGCACACCTAGCAACTCGCCAAAGGGTACTCCCCACACTCTCGCAGCAAGCGCGCTCACTGCCCTTCGCCCTTCGCGCAGCCAGCGCCCCGCGACGTCATCTCAGCGACAAACCAGGACTGGAGTCAACAGACATGCGAGACGCGGCGGACGCAAGAAAGACGTCTCCTCCCCAGCCCAAGATCACAAACTCCAGCGTGCCGGGACAGGGACCGGACAAGCTCACCGAGGAGCAGGAGCGCGGGGTAGACGAGCACAACCGCGATTTCGAGAAGAAGCACGACCGAGCGCAACCAGCTGCCGATGACAAGGTTGACAAGAAATTCTGGGGAAGCGGGACCGAGGATACCAAATAAGCGCCCTTCAAATTACGACACTGCGTAAGGGGGAATGCTGGTCGAGTGGCTGTTTGTAAGATACCAGGAGCGAGATCAAGGGTTACTGTATTGGCTGTAATACTCCAAAACCAATTCAGCATTTGGGAGAAAACGCTCTGCGCGAATGCATTGCTTCGGAGAACCACACGCTCGTGAGACGTGCTATCGTGATGACGCAATGTGGAATGAAGGTCATCTAGATAACTTCCCTTGGCGTGCTCAGATTAAATAGGCTGGCCGACCAAGAATGGTAGCGGCGCCTATCATCCGATCTATCAGTCTTATTATTACTGGCATATTGACGCTGTAAACCCACAGGACGAATAACGAGGACAATCTCAGGCTTGCATTGACACGTCTTGGGACTGCTCTGCCATGAATCGTGGTAACGAATGCTGACAACTGCCGTCCCATGCATTTGTTTCAATGTTGATGGCATTACGCTATCCCCGCATCGTCGGAGAGATTGATGTTGTATGATGTTCGCAGAATTATGGGACAGGAACGTTCTTGCTTGAACTGTATTGGCGCATCTGATCCGGATGGTCCAGATGCTATTGGGATTTCTTGGGTCGCATTGTTCATAGTCTTGGCAATCAAAGATGAAGGCATCTCCAAAGCAAAAGCCCACGAACACTATGTTTCTGTCATGAAACTGCCTAAAATAGCCTTCCTCATAAGACTTAAGCTTGAGTGATATAAAGTTCCAACGCACACGGGCCGCTGTAAATCACGCTGTCCCATGTTGGGATTGGGGTTGATGTCTTGGCAATAACATGAGGACAGTGAACTGCGTGTATTTTTAGTAGGCAAAGACGGTCTTTTGTCAGATGCTTCAGTCAAAATGCCATGCCAAGAACGAAGAAGAGATAAATGGCCTCATTCTCAGGGTCCTCTCTATTTGATCAACCAATTATTCCGCAAAACCTCTTTGGTGATCGCGGTGTTCCCACTCGCGGGGCCTTGGCGCCCCCGCCAGCTGTCGGCAGCTCCCTAAAAGCTCCTCCCGAGCTTGCCAAGCTCCGACGCGTCGCGGTTCACAGCTTCGAAGCTACATTGCGAAAGCAGACTGAGCCACCTCCGTGTCTCTGTCCAACTTGGCAAAAATCAGAGAAAATCACGAATTGGACCCAGTGTCGACGCAGCATCTCAAGTGTACATCTCTTGGCTGAGGTGCGATGCAAAGTTTCAGAGTGGCGTAGGCTTGCCAAACCACGCGGCAATACCACCGGAGGACATCGACGACTCTAGAGCTAGCCACACAGTCAAGTCTTGGGGACCTCGCGGGTTGGGCGTACGCCATGCTTCTTTGGCGGCGATGGACATGTCCACGTGGGAGATGGTGCTTGCTGTGGAAAGACAGCTCAGAGGCGACGCGTCTGACTGAGGCTGTGAGCTAGAATCCGACGTAAGTATCTTAACCATCAATGGTGAGTTTGGACTAAGGGACCCTCAAAATCGCTGATCCTTACAGCGAGGACTTGACGGAGGTCGCGAAAGAAGAGAGATCAGCAGCCTTATCGGCCTCACCTTCGTTTTGTGTAGACTCGCTAACCCTCGCTGGAGAGTCTTGGCTGCGCGCACAATTCCTGTGGTCGCCCAGACTTCTGAAGACAGCGCCGCAGTGGACGCGTGACTCGTGACTCGCATCCCCCAAATGCTTCACCCACGGTACATCGTCCAGCCATAAGCAGCCAGCAATCGAGCTTGGCTGCGGGTATTATCGCTCATGCCGACCTGTTGCAATTGGATGCCGTGCAGGATCAAGGATGAGTGCCTACAGTGGCCTTCGGTCAGCGAGAAGGGCAATCCGGGAGAAAGGACAGCCTCGGAGGTTCCATTGAGCAGCATGACATGCCATGCGAGTCTTCAGTGGAGGGAACCGAGGAAGAGAGAGGAAGCTGGATAGGGGAGCTGCTCGCGTGCTCTCCTACCCAGTCGATTGCCACATGTGCTCTCAGAAGAGCAGGAGGGCACGCGACAGCAGCCGTGGTTGAGTCTCTGTAAGACTCCGCTGGAGTCTAGCGTCAGATCTCGTGTCTTGGCAGGCATCACGGAGAGTTCACCACCAAGAAGTCGCAAGCACGACCTGGTGCGTCGACAGCGTATTGAAACAGCAACGTGCTTGCGAAAACGACTGTGACTGGCTGGAATCGTCTGACGGATCGGTCGTCGGTACCTCGAAAGCCAAGAAGGCCAAGATCCAAGGTGGCACCCGCCTCGCCAATACCAGCCGCCGATGTGGATGGTCGCAGAGCTCGGCGCAGACTGGGCATCCGTCAAAACATCCACCGCATGGGTCTCGATGGCCACTTTCACTGACGAGAAGGTGCAATTGAGATTTTTTATCTGATTTTTCCAAAGTCTCTTGCCCGGCTCAATGTGCGGCGAACACCACCATGGCCAGGGTAGCAGCGACCGCCGGTCCTTGATTGACAACAGAGGAGAAAGAAAGGAAGAAGGGGGAGGAGGAGAAACACCCACTCCTCCCCCACGTTGGCCAGCCCTCGTCTCCAGAGTCCAGACATCCATCCTCCATTGCTGGGAACCTCTCCGACCTCACCCTCTCTATAAAGGTCGCGGCGCTCCAGGTCTCTCCTGTGGCTCTTGACCTTGAGAGACCCGACAAGCCTCCTCTCTACTTATACTTCAAGCCCCCATCCCTCTCTGGGCCGCAATCATCGTAGTGAAGATTCCTCTTCCTACTTCACCCCCTCGGCTCTCTCTTCCTACTCCCTCTCTAGTACGAACATCGATATCAGTATTCGACTTTCTCCCTCAACGCCGCCGTCATGGCTGCCCTCCCGCAGTATGACTGGATCATCGCCCTGATCAGCATCGCCTTCTGCGGCAGCTCTTTCGGAAACGGCGCCAACGATGTCGCCAACTCCTACGCCACCTCGGTGGCCGCCCGCACCCTGACCATGCCCCAGGTCGGCTTTCTGTCCATGTTCACCGAGTTTTTTGGCGCCGTCGTCCTCGGATCCCGCGTCACCGGAACGATCAAGAACAATATCATCGGCCTCGATCGCTTCCGCGGGACCCCCGCAACCCTCATCCTTGCCATGGGCTGTGCCGAGTTCGCCAGTGCCTTCTGGTTGCTCACTGCCACCAAGATTGGATACCCTGTCTCAACAACGCAGACCATCGTCGGTGCCTTGGTTGGCGTTGGCATAGCTGCGGAAGCTGGCGTATCTTGGGGCTGGAAGGATGGAAGCGTGTCCCAGGTTGCCGCATCTTGGGTCATCGCCCCTTTGATCTCTGCAGTCTTCTCCGCCATTCTCTTTGGAAGTCTCAAATTCGCTGTCCTCGAGCGCAAGAACCCCTTCGAGAAAGCAATGAAGGCCATTCCGTTTTACCTCGCCTTTACCGCTGCAGTTCTCGCCCTGTTCATTATCATCGAGGCCCCTGGTGCGCCGTCACTCGAGGAGCTCGGTGCCGGCATTGCATGCGCAATCGTCTTGGGTACCTTCTTTGGTGCTCTTCTTCTCGCCTACGTCTTCTTCCTGCCATATGTCCACCGAAGGCTTGTGAAGCAAGACACGCGCATCCGACTGCGTCACGTCTTCCTTGGGCCCTTGTTGTGGATGGAGAACCCGCCCATCTATCTGCCTGCAAAGGGCGACGAGGTGGTTGTCGACTACAACGCCAGGATTGTATCCCCCAATGACAATGAGGACATTGAGAAGCAAAAGGCCAAGACCGAGTCTAGTGCCGACAAGGGAGAGAAGCTCGTCAACGACCATTCCCCGACCAGCCCGACCGCAGCACCCTTGTCTCTTGAGGACGTTGAGCGCGGCAAGACAGCACCCCCCGCGAGCGCTTACAAACGTATGCCTGAACCTGAGGAACGCTTCCTTGCTCCAACGGCTCACCTTCCCATTCACAACCCCAAGCGTATTTGGAGCTTCATCAAGTATATCTTTCTTCAAGGAGTCACGCGTGACTGCGTCAACCACGCTGATACCCAGCTTGCCTCCGTTCATGGAAAAGCCAAGCAATACGATATTCGCGCTGAGCACCTGTTGACGTATGCCCAAGTCGCCAGCGCCATGATGATGTCCATTGCTCACGGCTCCAACGATGTTGCCAATGCAGTCGGGCCTTGGATTGCGGCGTACCAGGTCTACATGACGGGCGAAGTGTCCGAAAAAGGCGAAAGCCCAATCTGGATTCTCGTTGTCGCCGGCTTTCTCCTCGGTGCTGGCTTCTGGTTCATGGGCTATAAGATTATAAGGGCAATGGGAAACAAGATGACCTCCGTTACACCCAGCCGAGGCTTCAGCATGGAATTGGGCGCAGCCATCACCGTTTTGGTTGCCAGTCGTCTTGGCCTTCCTGTCAGCACCACACAATGTCTGACTGGTTCCATCGTCGGTGTTGCCTTGATGAACTTCGATGTTCGCGCTGTAAACTGGCGCCAGGTTGCCTTTGTGTTCTCTGGCTGGTTCATTACACTACCCTGTGCGGGTTTGATTGGTGGCTTGTTGATGGCGATGTCCCTGAACACCCCCCAGTTCGGCCAGGGATAATATTCCTGGGAAGCATCAAGGCGTTAATGGTTTTGGTCAAATCGGATATGGGTTAGCTGCACCCTATGGCTGTTGGATAAGGTCGGGGCACTAGACAGTACTTCTTACTGGTATTGATGAGAAAATGACAACAATAGAACATGAGAACAAACATACCCGCTTTAACTTGCTTGTGAAAAGATCGAGCGTTTCTTGAGAGCAATCACATGATAGACTCGAAGACCATGTTGCCGGCGGCCGATCCAAAACATGCTGTTGGCTCGGCTCTCTACGTTGCACTGTGTGCCATTACCTTACAACACCTTCAGTGCAACGCTGCAGCTCCATCAGGCTGCATATATCTACAGCACTCAGGGATCTTGATTCAACATCAGTTGAACAAATAAAGACTATGTTTCCACTGATCGGTGTGCTCTTAAGTTTTATGAAATTGGTCAGACGTTTGTCTTCAATGGGATTGAGACCAACCTGCCGGTCTAATCGACTAGTCCTGACGCTTCGTATGAGGCTTTGTCCGTAGCTAGGGACGGAACGGCGAATCCTGGTAGGTCAATTTTTACGTCAAATGCCTTGGGATTTGATGTGTACCAATTTTCTCAGCTTCATCGCATGAGCGAGGAGACGGGAAACAGAGATTGCTTTTGCTATCTTCCTTCGATGATCATACAGATCGGCCAACGTAGAAGTTGTTTAACGTGATGAAAGACACTTGTCACGCCATTGAGTGTCACAGCCAGGCCTTATGACATCCATGGTATCTTGATCAGCATTTGCGGACAGCGGACAGTGGACAATAACCTGATCGTTCGTTTGACTTCTGCCGCCGTCGGAAGTGTTCGCGACGTTGAGTTCAATTGCGGTTGCTGTACGTCAGAATAGACACATCCAGAAACCAACCTAGTGGTCTAGTCGGCTAAGTCCCATCGAACATTCGTCTTTTAGCTGCCCACTAAACTGCCACGAATTACCGGGGGCGGGGGAGCTTAGTTTTGCTCGCTTTCGGGCGGCTTTGGGGCGACCATGCGGCATCGCGAAAGCTGGGACGATTTCCAAACAGATTAGATATGCAATGAACAATAAGCGTGCCTCGTCATACGTAAGAGATCAGCGGGAATACTGTTCGGGTGCACTGTGATACGGAAGAGCCTGCGGAAGTCATCCTCCAGCGCTGCAGCAGTGATTGCGGCAATTGCACCAGAGTCGTGTGCGGCCCGCACACCTTTCCGATAGGGATTTCGGATAGATGCCGAGACCCGGCGCCGTGGATTTGGCGATAACACGCCAGCGGGTCATTGGTGCAGTGATTGGGCATCTTTCCTCGATTCTGGGGCCTCCTCAAGATCTCTTCCTCTGCAACATGAAGCTATCAGTGGGTTAGATTGAGCGGTTGCTGCACCCCCATATTGCCGTACCTTATCCGCCCATCTGATGCGGTTCTGAGGCACACGACGGACGGGCGTGGGATCTGTTATCGACGACCGCGACAAGCCGGCCGCACGGATGGGGCAAAGATGGAGGGTGTGTTGATGCTCGGATTGGCAATACACGCATGACCTTATCCTAGTGATGATGCCGACCGTGAAGTACATATGCCGGCCTCGTGGCAGTTCTTCGAGAGCCTTGTTCGCTACTTTACCTTTCGCATCCATCGAGACAACATCGTGAAGAATTCATCCACTTGATCCGACATAATCGACTTCGTCCGATATTCTTTAGGTCCACTTCCGTCACTACCAAAAGTCATCACCATGGGTTCTTTGCCGACTGCGGGGTGGAGGCAGCTCGACGTCGGAGTCGTCGGCGGTGGTATCGGCGGCATGTCCGTCGCGATCGCCCTCCGCCGCGCCGGCCATAAGGTCTCCATCTACGAGCGCAACGACTTTGCCGGAGAGGTCGGTGCCTCCGTCTCTTGTGCCGCGAACGGCACCCGCTGGCTGCATGAGTGGGGTGTCGACGTCCAGAAGGGCGACCCTGTCGTGCTGAAGAAGCTCATCAACCGCGACTGGAAGACGGGTGAGCCGGTCAGTGTGTACGACCTGGACGACTACGAGGAGCGCTGGGGATACGTTTACAACATGTTCCACCGCCAATACATGCATTCGATGCTCAAGGACACGGCCCTCGAGGAGGCCGGAGAGGGAACGCCTGCCAAGCTGTTTGTTAACTACAAGGTGAGACATTATTCCGGCCGACCTTGAAACATTGACGTTGTTAACGTGTTTGGTGTAGTGCAAAGAGATGGACATCGCTGCCGGAAAGGTGTCATTCGAAAACGGACATTCTGCCACGCACGACCTGATCATCGGAGCCGACGGTATCGGCAGCGCGGTGCGGGGCCTCATCGGTGTGAAGCCGGCGAAGCGCCCCGCCGACTCGAGCTGCCTCCACGCCAACGTTCTCACCGAGGATGCGGTCAAGGCCGGCCTCGTCGACTACTCGCAGGACGCCGCTCTCGAGTACTGGGGCGGCCAGGAGGGCAAGTGGGACAAGATTGTCCTGTCGCCTTGCAACGGAGGAAAGCTGCTGTCCTACTACTGCTTCTTCCCCAGAGACAAGGGCGACTACACCAACCAGGCTTGGGGTGTCGAGGACCGCCCCGTCGAGGAGCTGCTCGCTCCTTATCCTGAGTTGGATGCGCAGGTCAAGGCGCATCTCGCCATCGGCATGGACATCCAGCCCTGGCGTCTGTGGATGCAGTAAGTTTTCTATTCCCTGGACTGAATGGTTGTCGAGACAAAAGTTAACGGCTTGGTAGCGACCCCTACCCTTACATCAGCAAAGACAAGGTCTGCCTGTTGGGCGATGCAGGACACCCTGTAAGTAAACTCCATCCCTGTTCTCGAATGACCGGCATCCCACTGACCAGAGAGCATAGATGATGCCTCACCAAAGTCAAGGAGCTTGCATGGCGATTGAAGATGCGGCTGCCCTTGGCATCCTCTTTCACCCCAAGTACTTCAACGGCGACGTGAACGAGACTCTGTCCATGTACAACGACGTGCGCCTGCCCCGTGCTACGAGGGTGCAGCAGGCTGCTGCGAAGGCGGCCTACAACATCAACGAGCGCATCGGTGAGTCGCCCATCATTGTCAACCACGCAACTTGACTCATGGGCCCTGTTATGTCTGACTTCTTGCATAGGCTTCTCCAGCAATGCCGACAGCTGCAGCACGTACAAGGTTGAGGACGAGAAGGCCAAACTGACCATCGAGGAGATGAATGCGTAAGTGACCGCATCCCTGGACGTCGACTCGGGAGCCAATCAACTAACATCGTGGGTGCAGCTATGATATGTACAAGGACATTGAAGAGGTCATTGCGAAGAGGAACGGAACTGCGTTTACGCAAAAGTTCACCAAGGGCCTTCCCATCGGCCTCAAGCTCCCCAACGGCGTGATCATTGGGCAATAGGTTTTCTGACCTCGTCGGGTGGGGCTTTGTGGATTCTTTTCGTCTTTTCGTGTACCTATTTCCTGGAGTTTTGGGTTGGATGGAACCTCGTGTGCGATACCAGCGGGCTATCTAGATTTACGGAGATGATAAGGAAAAGAGAATTTTTGGTGTTCTTGAAATTCCTGAAGAAGAGTCATGTCATGGGCCGTGCAGTTAGTTATGCCTATTTGTGAACGAGTTGTGATCGACATCGTCAAATGTGCAGACCAGGGAGTCCACGAAAATATGGGCACGCAACTCAGTCTCCACGCACGATGCACCCAGCCCAGCAGCGCCAGTTCTCCAGACGGGCGGCCACTTTACGCTTGAAAGACTTCCCCTCGCAATCTTGGAACGTTGATGCGAAATGTCACAGTTATATGGTAAGTGTCGCCAAATCGAGAGGCGAATGCGTTAGGCGCGCGATACCATGCGATGCAGTCTGCATCACGAACGTGGCCCAGCATTAGATGCTGCAGATGAGGCTGGCGAGCAAAGTTTTCAGCCAACCATGCATCGCCGTTTTGACTCCCACGGACAGGATCTCCAACGACATGGCCTCATTATCGCGGCCATGCGGTGAGGGCCAGACTCCGCTCTCCCAGCATCACATCGGACCTCACACCAGAAGAGGGGTAGTTGAGGCGAAAGAAAGACGTATCTTAGGTACTTTGACAGCCCCAAGTTGACGATATCGAGGAATGACTTTGAAAAGACAACAAGACAGAGAGAGGCTCAAGACAAGGCAAACACTCTCGTCCTCAATGTTTCATGCAACCAAAGGGCGGTGGATGCGATCGGCCGAATCTGTATGCAAACCCTGGTGACATCTGGAGGGCAACCAAGCAACGGCTCCAACGCGAACTGCGCTAAAATGTCACTGGGTGGAGCCCCTGGAAGAAATCTGCATGAGTTCCGAGCTCCCGGCGACCTTCGTCAACAGGGATTCTCGCACCAGAGAAAAAAAATCGTCCAGGAAAGGTGCCTTGACGCGTCTGGCGACGAACCGGCCAGTCGAGCGGTGAGGGCGGTCGTGGTGGTGGTCGACGAGGTGGTTGCGATTGTCTGTCCCGTTGTCGCCATCCATCCATCCAATCCATACATTTGCTGCCCAATGTCGACCTTCCATCTCGTTTAGACCCTGCTTGAAAAACTCATGGTTCAGGTAGTTGGCCAGCCATCTGGTGGGCCGTATCCTCGGCGATTCCCAGGCTCTGAATGGGCATTTCGACTCTTCGACAGACTCACGGACGGCCAATATTGATTGTTCAACCGCCAACCAGTGGATCCTGATGGTCGTCGGGTCGAACCGACCAGCCAGAAGGCAGAGTACATATAGATGCGCAGCCAGTCCTCAGGCTCAGGTCTGCTTTTATGTTCCTCTCCGTCTGATTCATATCAATCCGTTGTTGGTCCCGATACGATACCCGCGAGCACTGCATTCCTGGCTGCTCCATCGTTGCTTTGGCGGCTTCTCTTTTCCTTGAAGCGTTGGCCCATTTTCAGTTTTGTTTTGCATTTTTTCCTGTTCAAGTTCCGGCCTTCGATACCCTTGCCCAAAATGTCTCCAGCGCTTTTCGACACCAGGAGGAGCAACTCCGTCTCCCAAGAAACCACCACCGAGCGCCGCAAGTCCAACGGCTTTCTGTTCCTGAACAACAGATTCAAGAGGTACGTCCTGATGATATATATCTGTTTTCTTCGTTTTATATACACGCGTCTTACTGCGTGTCTTTTTCCCCTCCTCTTCTCTCCTCCCCCGTCCCCTCCCCCCGCCTCATTCTTCAAGACAATGGATGCAGTTGTCTTGGGACACGCAAAAAGCGGCCTTCTTCACCGCTCTTCATGCTCCTCTTCGTTGCCCCTGGTCAAGTTGCCAGCATGTGCTCGCTACCCCTGGCTCTACGCTGGACCCTTCGCCCCGCCGTGACAGGCCCCGGCTTGGATGGGCGGGCGCCGCGGCTTCAAAGACACCCCACCAAACACCACCAAACGGAGCGTGCCTTGTGGTTTTCCAACGGCCAACGCTTCGTTTCGGATTTCGGGCCTGTCGAGTTGTCGGGTCCTGCATGTTTGACGTGTCTCTGCCCGCGATATCCCAACTCCCATCGTCATCGACACCTAATGTCGCCACCTCCAATCAGCTTCCCTTCCATGTCTCTTACACGGGTGTTCGTAGTCCGCCAACACCACCCGGGGGCGACGCGCCCGACTCCTTTGGCCGGTATCGTGACTGGCCCGATGTCCATCATGCCTCCACGACTGACCCTCAAGGAGGGCGTCCCCTTTCTCCCCTCGCGAGACACCCCATCATAAGAGTGATGCCTCGACGGCCATCAGTCCCTCCCAGAGTCTCTTCCCTTCGGTAGCCAGCGTCCATTTGCTTCGCCCTCATTCATTTTCCATGCCTCCTCTACCATTCTGTCTCCCCCACTTCTCCATTGCGAAGAAGCACCTAAACCGGCCCAAGTTATTACGGTTGTCTCATACCAGGATGACTCAGAGTCTTTGTTTCTAACTTGTTGTAACAGAGCTGCCACCACAAAGACCACCAACGAGAACGCCACCTCCACTCCCCCGACGCCCACTTTCGGCCCGGTCAAGGATGGAGCCAACGGCAACGGCAACGGCAATGGCTTTTTCAAGCGCACCGACTCTTCGCGGAGTATCCCGTCTCTGGCTCAGGTTGGCAACGACGAAGCTCCCGCCCAGCGACCCATGACCGCCATGCCCGGCCGTGAGAAGCCCTTCCTTGACAACAACAACAAGGAGCCCGTGAACGGCGAGAAGAAGGAGACCAACGGAGCCCCCGAGGTCGGACCCAAGGGGGAGTCTGAGCCCGCTGCTGCGCCTGCACCCGAGACAAACGGCAACGGTGCCGAGCCTGCTTCCGCGGCTGATCACCTCAAGGTTGAGAGCACCGCCGACGCCCACCCCACCGAGGACGAGGGTGAGTCATCCTCTGACGAGGAGGAAGAGGAGGACAAGAACGATGCCGAGGCCCAGGAGTCTCAGGGTGCTCAACTTGCTACCCGTGCCGTCGTCGTTCCCGCCCGTGTCCCTACTCCCGAGGGCGACAGGAAGATCTCGTACCACGAGGACACCGACCTTCACATCAAGGTCAGGGATGCCAGCGGTGTTCCCACCGTGTTCTCCGTCCGCGCCGCGGCTCTCGCCACCGCTTCGCGCGTCTTCAGAGATCAGCTTGCGGGCAACACCGAGGGCATCATCGAGCTCAACTCTGCCGCAGACACCACCAGCGGCCTCGACACCCTCTTCTCGATCGCCCACTTCAAGTTCCATCAGCTCCCCACCAGGCCTAACGTCGACGTCCTCTACGACCTTGCCCTGGCCTCCGACAAGTATGCCGCCACGCATCTGCTGGTGCCCTTCATGAAGGACTGGATCGTCTCCCTGAACCGCCACGTCCTCATGGCTGGCGCCCGCAACGACGAGGACAAGACTCTCGTCCTGAGCTGGGTCTTTGGCGAGGCCCGCTGGTTCAGCCGCGTCCTCTCCAAGGCTGCCTACAAGTCCCGCCTGGGTCCCGACGGCACCCTCCAGGACTCCAAGGGCCGCCCGTGGAAGGAGCAGCCCATCTCCGAGGAGGTCATCGCCATGCTGACCGCCACCCGCGCCGAGGCCATTGACAAGATCATCAAGGCCGTCAGCAACCCCGTCCACCGCCTGCTCAACCCCTCGTGCTACCCCGGTGAGGAGATCCGCTACTGCCACGCCGGCACCGACGACGGCACCGTCGAGGACTGCGAGCAGCTCCTGCTCGGATCAGCCATCATGGGCCTGACCAAGGCGAGACTCTGGCCTGCGCCCGAGCCCGCCAAGATCAAGGTCAGCGCCGTCGAGCTCGCGAGAGCCTACAGCGAGGTCCGCATCCGCCGCTACCAGACCCCCGGCCTGCGCTTCAGGGACAGCCAGCCCGACGGCGCGCCCGTCGAGGACCTCCACGCCAAGTGCGGCTTCGGCCACCGCGAGGCGCTCGAGAAAATCCTCAACACGCCCGCCAAGGTCGGCTCCGGTGTCGTCAGCCAGCTGATCACCCGGGCCAAGAAGTCCGGCGCGTTCGGCGAGGATCTCTTCTCCGACCTGAAGGAGTATGTTCAGGATGACGGTGTTGCTGTTGAGGGCGAGGACCTGAAGACGGACCCCGTCCACTACAAGCAGGTCCGTGACAGGACCAACGGCGTCCTTGCCAGCAAGGTTCCGGCTGATGGTAAGCTTTCTCCCGCCGAACAAGCTCTCGCAGTGTAGCATCCGTTCTAACAGCGCTTAGATGATGACGAGGAGGATGACGAGGATACCTCCAGCTCCGACAGCGATGATGAGTAAACGATGATTAGAATGCTGGGTTTACGGATGTTAAGCGTTATGGAAATGTGTTTCGTTTGTTTCTGATGGTTTATGGCTTGCAATGTTCTCGTTTGTATATGATGGCTCTCAACATGATTCATTATGATCAATACCCTTAGATTGTCTCTAGATCTTATATCATCTGTTGCATGATCATGACACCGTGTTCACACCGCTCTTGACCATTGATGTAACGCGTGAGCTGTGATCCTGGTGATCCCTCACCGTCTCGTGTGCAGTTCGACGCGAAGGCATTTTGGGGTCCTTCTCACTGCGCCCCGTCAAGTTGAGCATTACTATTCTTCCCTAGACGTAATTTCGAACATGTGCGTTTCATCTCTGACTTTCTTATCTCTACGTGTTTGAAAATACAGACGTCTATGGGAGAATTGTTATCTTTAGCACCACTTGACGGAAACTGGGCATAATGCTAATCCGCTGTTCTCCCGCTTGTCACGATATCTTGTCACGAATGCAATAATTGCCGCATCTGCCACCTGTTGGCAATTTTTTGTCTTGGCTTGTCTGAACTCCTGTTATTTTCCTCGAGTGAAGCGACGAGTAAAGCGAATAGGGAAGCTTCCGGGAAAATGTCCCTCAGAACATGCACGTCATCAGATCACACGATGCCCTCAAAGTTACGCGCCAGATTGCACATGAACACCAAAGCAGGTTCGCTCGCGATTTTCGTCACATGATGACCGGTCCCACGAGCCTGCCCCTCCAGTTCAAGAAGCCATACGTTCTCACGATAAACACGTAGGAGTTCGTGCCTTTCCGTCAAGCCCACGATGCGGATGGGGCGTGATGGACAAAGCGAGGCATTGCAGCACGCGTTCGTCGGCGATTTCAAAGCACAGTCCCCGACCCCTGTGATCCTCGTGACGATGATGGAGACAGAGACCCTCCCTTACCCTCCCTTTTCCTGAATCATCCTGAACCATCGCGAACATTCACGACCTCTCTTACCGCAACTTGCTTTGAACGGTGAGCAGTCTGCGGGCTGTCTACCCGGCTTGGTACGCTTTACGACGACTCCATCGCCTCTTTCGGCAACTGAATAGATACAATCACTATTCAACATCTGAAGGTGAGGATCGTGCGGGGCAAGCAGAGTGAAGCTATAACTGAACAGTCCACCAATCCCGATGCAAACTCCACAGCCCTGCACATTGGCTTGGGCTTGTGGGCTGGGTGGGCGGGTGGACTCTTCCCCTCCCCAGATCCATTTGCAGACCCATACAATTGGCGGAATCGTTGCTCATTTGCTGGTGATGCTCTCCGCGTCGAACCTCAGAGGTCACACGTGTACTCGCATCAAGACCGTGTTAGTCCAATGAGGGACACCCGGAGTCGCGTCCAAAGTTACAAAGTACATCAATCTTGGCCTCAGTGAGCAATCCGGCGGAAACGATCTGCCACGTATGGTCTTCGTTTGGACTATTGCCTTTTGTACCAATGTTTCTGAAGCGTCTCGCCTTGTAGGCGTGATTGTATTGTAATGTTCTAGAGCGCCTACTCCATAATCTTGTGCTGGTGTTTTCCTATCAACACGTCCTCTTTGAGGATACAGGCGGGGGAGGCCTCAATATGAACATGCAGCTAGGGTCTTGCCAATGGAAGGAAACTTCCGGTGAGAACCATCTGCGGTTACCGATTCTAGCCTCGATGTGTTGTGAGTTAATCGTGTGTTTTCACAGCAATGCTTGTTCAAGCTGGCAATGACACTGTGACTGAATCATGCGCTTACAGAACCCCGCGCGGCTATTATCGAGTTCAAGACCACTTTGAATGCTTCATCGTCCCATTGAAGGACACGACAGCATGAAGATTTCGTGGAGTACGTTTCGTTTGCAGATTCGGTAGAGGTATCGGGCATCGGTGTTACTTTAACATCGATACACTCTTCTGTCCAACCACTCGCCTTTCGCCTCTTCGCCTCATTCCTCATGTCCACGCAAACATGTCCCAAACGTTCTAGACGTGCTTTTAGGCTGTTCAATGTGTACGTACCAAGCCTAGACGTTGCATGAAGTCAGTTCAAATGTAACGTATGGAGGCTTGCCAGAGGTTGAACATGGATTGGTTTACGTCAAGAAGGTGAATAAAAGGTCGTTTTGTGGTCTGCAGATAAAATTGTGCCGAATAATCATGAGATATACCAGCAGCAACATCGTCGTTTGGGATGAAAATCAGCATGGCAGGTGGGCAGAAAGGAGGTGCCGCCACGGGGAATTTAATTACAATTTCCGGACATTTTGCAACTCTCACGAGCAGACGTTCACGGTGTTTTGCTTTTGGTACGTCACCGGGCATACTCCGTACATGCACATACAATGCATGCAGCCTACGGGTTGTCACACAGCAACACTACTCGACCGCCTCATTTTCTGACTGGACGGACGAAAAGGGGCCGCTGCAGGCCTGCATAATCCTCCCGACCATCCAGCCACGACAGCCGCAGCAAACACGCCTCAGCGTGAAATGCGGGCGATTCGTTTTCAGCAGGTCGATAGCTGCGCGATTGAGCCTCAGGTGCGTGGCAGATGCAGATTGTTCCGTTTGCTCTCGTGTATCATTTCGCTTCAAGTTTACTCAGCAACACACACTCTTTTCGCATAGACCTTCTAGATCCAGTGTCATATGAACAACAGCATGCAAGGAGTCGAAGAAGGGGTTCTAGATGAGATTCTGGTGATACTCGAGCGCAGTACGTCCGTATGCATGTCGTCGGACCCGGGAAGATGGAAGTCGCGCTTCCTTGTTATCGTCAAGGATACCCAGAGTACGCACGAACAGTCGGTCTCCACCGCAAACCCCTCCCAGAACATCTAGACTCGAACGCGGGATGGAGGAGACACACGGCGCATCCGACAGGGCATGTGTACCGCCACTTGGGTCTCATAGCCGGCCAATGAAGCAAAACTGGTGGATCGATACCCGTCGAAGAGGAAAGGCGGGATGCGAAAGCCACCGTCTATTCCCGAGCATCGATCTGATAAGCCAGGCATCATGATACAGTCAGACCAGCGGATGGCGAGAGTCATTCCGTTGCTCTCATATTGGCAGTCATCAGCAGACAAAGACAATGAAAGTTTCCGATTTGGCCGGCAAGAAGCTTTTCACGAATCATGAAATAGACACACTTTCCCTTCATCTCGTCGACACAAACCAAGGCAAAGGAGAGCAGCAGACCGGCCGGGGTCCATGGCTCGGCCCGCACAACAGACGAATCAACGGACACCACGTCCAAGTCCAGACCCCCCGGTCGCCTCCGGGAGCTTGCAGGTTGCAGTGAAATGGCCGCCAACGTCCAATGCCGTGCGATCTTCTAGACAGATCCTTGTCCATTTCGTCCCAACTGTCCCAACCTGGCCCGAGCAAAGCAAAAGGAACGATGCCCAACCCACTATCGCAACACGCCATGCGCACAAAAACTGGGAAAAAATAGAATCAGGCCTGTCGAATTCAATTCCGCCCGTTTGCCTCGTAAAATCGACTGGCTGATATGCCTGGTTCCCCCAAATTCCTGACTCATCTTAGCGCAGAGGAGCCTGGGTGATACGCTTTCCTTTTCCCTTGTGGCCCGTTCAACCCCTGCAAAATAGGGCTTCCGGCGCGTTTGGCCCTCGAAAGAGGAAGCCAAAACAGAGACAAACGGCTGTAGACAGTCGTTGCTGAAGAGATGACTCTGTAAAAGTGGAAAACAGGAGGCAGAGCAAAAAGTTGTAACAAACAGCGGCTTAGCAAAGCCAAAAGATAGGCTGCTGCGCCGGGAGAAGAAGAGACGGTCCAGCAACAGGAGACTTACACATGTTCCCGGTTCGCCACTTGGGAGTTATTGCACAGTTGTATCCGGAGCTCGACTCTCTTGATTGCCCAGGCTTAGTTGCCCAAACCCTTGGTTGGCCCCCCCTGGCCTCCCGCATTTTGGGCCCCCGGCAGGGCGGGACGTGACAATGGATACCAGACTGGGGCCCGATAGTCGATGGGGGCGGTCCTAGAACCCTGGAAAGTGTGGTTTGCTCCTCCTGACAGCCAGACTGCCCAATCAGCCCAAGGTATCCTTGCTCGGGGTCGAGCAAGTGACGACGTTGCGTTTGCAGTTTGGACGCCGTCTTGTGTCCCGGATGTACGCTGGGCTTTCCCGTCAAACGGCTCTCGAACAGAACCGTGGATGCACACGTCGGGCCCGCCCTGGGCCACGCCTCACCCCTGGGCGTTGGCCCGAAGGGCTTGTCCATGCCGTGTCTCGAAAGCTCGAGGGCTCCCCGAGGTTGGTCGGTGTATGTGCCCTATTGGACGGGGCTAAGCGCGTTGGGGCTGGCCACGGATGAAGGCGGGCAGTGTCGAATATCATTTCTGCCGGTTGGGCTGGTGTTGTACGTAGATCGCCCTCCCTGCCTCTCCCCTTTTCTTCCCTCCCACAACAACACTCTCTGGATACTTCGACAAAAACGACTTGCCTGCTGCATCCAGACTCTCACCCGATCTCATCATTCTTCTGATTGTAGATCCGCAGACCCGATATGCAACTTTACCCCTCATCAACTTACCGATACACTTTCAATGTCACCCGCAGATTCCACCAGCCCCAGATCAGACGTCCAGCTTGGCACATAACTTGAGAAACCCACAGAACTATTATACCTTATCTTACCAGAGCCTCCGCTCCTGAAAAAACTCCACCCATCATCTTCATTCATCACCAACTCCCATGGCGCCAACTCGTGACGCCGTGCCCAACAAGGGCCGCCCGGGCATCGCCCGCTTCGGCAAGCAAAGACGGCCCTCAGTCTCCGTGCCAGATGGCACATCTATTGAGATGATCGATATGTCTCACGCCAACATCTCCGACGTCTCACTCGTCGACCACTCTTCAGACAACAGGTCCGACCTGAGCACCAGCACATCCGGAAGCTGGAGACGCAAGACCCCCAGTGGCAAGCCTCTCCTGTTCAAGCCCCCTTCCCTTCGCT